AAATGTGTTTGAAATGGTTCATGGTAGACAGTACAAGAAAATCCCTAATTTGTTTGAAATGGTTCATGGTAGACAGTACAAGAAAATCCCAAATAGGTTTGAAATGGTTCATGGTAGACAGTAAAAGAAAATCCCTAATTTGTTTGAAATGGTTCATGGTAGACAGTACAAGAAAATCCCAAATTTGTTTGAAATGGTTCATGGTAGACAGTAAAAGAAAGCCTAAGATTGTTCATTGAGTTTTGATGTTTAGAGTGTCGGTCTCTTCCTTGCATGATGATTTAATATTTGGGTGTTTGTGTGTGTGTGTTAAAAAAAAATTAGAGTAGCATAGTTCTGAAAAAAAAAGCAACATAAACCAAACATCAGTATAAAAACACAGGAATTATTGTATATTTATTTTAAATTGAATTATGGTTATTTTAAATGTTTATAAGTAGTTGATGTCAAGGATTTTACATGATAACCACATGGGCTACTGAAACATTGTATGTTTTATTTTAAATAAGTCTTATTGTATCCACTTGAGCCTGTTGAGTTTTTAACTGAAGAAGTCCAATTTCTATTGACTGTGGCTCGTGACAATCATAGGATACATGTTTTGAAATAATTTAATTGTTCGCTGTTTTAACTGGAGATACAAATAGTAAGAAACAGACTTTATAAGGCTGATGTGTGTGTGCGTGCCACATGAGTTAAATTCTGCTTGCAGCATGCCTTAAAACCAAGAGCACATCTATTTACAGATTATTCTCAGTTCACCATGCAGCCAGAGAACGTGTATAAATATTTAGTGAGAACCTACAAATAGATCCAATCCCCTTTTCATACAGTAAAGTAATGCAGATGGCAGTAGTAGGAGTAATGGTGTGAGGCAGAATAATTGTTGACTTCTGTATCTCGCAGAATGGTACCGTTAATACCACACATTCTACATCTGTTTATGTTCTCATGTGACCCTGACTTCAGTGTGATGAATAATAACATATGCTCCTACTTATTAAACTGGTCAAAACATTCTTTAAATAAAGCGTATATACATGTGATACAGGTTGCACTTCGTCAGATAATTTCAGACATTAAAATTGCACTGGAAACTACTTTTTCAGAGAAGTGGTTTGAGGATCACTGAACATTATCAGCATCTAGCTTTTATGCTGGATGTCCAACTGCTTTTGCTGTTTGTAAGCATACTTTGTATTGAAGTGAAAGATTTAAAACCACTTTTTCCAATTGTTTATGTAAGATAGATGAGCTATTATTTGCATTTCAAATTGTGAAAGGTCATTAGGTTCACATAAATAAACTCAAGGAAGTAATTAATGTCATTTTGTAACTGGTTTTACCTCGTAGGTAAAATATTATAAATTCCAATTATCCTGTCACTGTTAGGTTTCATATATAGAGTGCTCTGTTCAGTTTCCTTGTTATAACGAGAACAGAGAAAGGCTAATAAAGTAGTTTCAAAAAGGGCTATGAAGAGTAACATAAAATAGTTGTTTTATTTAACACTGGAGGTGGTGTTAGTGTTAAATGTTATTAGTGGTTAAGATATGCCATTATAATAAAGCATTTTTACTTCTAGACAAGTTTTGCAGTTGTAATGGTAACCTGAACATTAGAAATAATGTATATAGGATTTAGGAACAGAAACAGGATTTAAAACAGAATTATACTTGGTTAATGTAGTTCCTCCGTGGTAACCTGATTATTTCAACAAACTTACCATGTTCATTGTATCCTTCATACGCACATACATGCTGTACATCTGTTACTAGGATGACCTTCATAGGAGTCTTTCTCTGTTTTTTCTGATCTAACAGAATTCTCATTCCTTGACAAGTTTAAATGTGTTTTGACCTTCTAAATCCTTGACAAGTTTAAATGTGTTTTGACCTTCTAAACTCTTTCTAAGGTTACATTTTTCTACAATATGGATTATTCATAAGTTTACTTGGGATTCTTACACATTTCTTTTGTCAAAATAAAATACTGGAGTTAAAAAAATAAGTTTATATCTTGCAAACATTCTATTTATAAATATGTATGTTGAATTTATTGAGAACAATGTAAACATTTAGGCATTATCATTTTATGATTGAAAATTACTCTATGATACATTATAAACATTGTTTCAAGTATTGCGTAGCTGGTCATATATATTTCAGTATATATTTGTCATTTAGTTTCGTGTATAGTAAGTTTGATAAAGTTTGAAGACAGAAGGTGAGCAAAGAATTAGCTGGGGGCAGAAAGAGCTGTATCAGAGAGGGCTAAGTTTTATTAAATACAAAAGAAATAGGTTTCTTTTGCTGTAAGAAGTGTCTATTTATTAGCTGTAGCTCATAGAATGGCTCCGAGTTTTAGGGGTTTTTTTCAAGTACAAACTTATAACTCATTTTTTCTAATCCATAGTCGTTGACATATATTTTTGTACAGTTGTCTATAAAATGCATTAACTCTCTATATTCAGAAGAAAAAAAACATGAATTAATGGTGAACATTTTTTTCCAGCTGGTGATGCCAAGCAGAGACAATTTTGGGTGAATCGACTTCGAGCCGCTGTTGAAAACCAAAATCAACATGTAGCTGAAGTAAGGATTAATGTTGTTTTAGATGTTAAATACATCATTGAAAATACTGATTTCATCAAAATTTAATAAATAAATCTCTGTTTTTGTTTGTTAAAAAATATTTCAATTTATAATGATAAATGGACCAATATTTGAAAGGTTTTGTTATAGAACTTAAAACAAGCTTAAACAAAACTTTATAATTTCATGTATAGTTTAACATGTTACTTTTTTCAATTTCATGTTTTTAACACTATATAAAAATGTAGATTTCTAAGTATTTACATAAAGCATGATAATCCACATATAAATGTGCAAGAGTCTAATAACAGAATACTTGAATATTTCTTGTTTGTTTTGTGAATTGTGTATTTTAAAGAAGAGAAATAAGGGCTAACTAATATAATGAAGTGCATGAACATTAGACTGTTCTCACATTTATGTGCTAACCATATGTATAGTTTCTCATGTTGTATTAGTAAACAAATTGCAGTATTTACGAATAAATTTGTTCTGATTATTGTTCTTCATCATGATCATAAACAGCATTCTAAATATTTCAAAATATCAAACAGTGCCTTAGAAAAAAAAAAGTTATACTTTAAGTTTATAAACATGCCATGCTTTTTAAGTCAGAACTCTTTTGTACTAATCAACATTGTATTATGGAGCTTTTAACAACACAGCTTTATATATGTATACATATAAATCAAACTTCACATAACTTTAGTACTATACATGTCTGTTTGTGTGTCACTTGACAGAAAAATCCTCCTCTCTCAACACGAGAACAAAGAAGTAGTTCACACCCACCCCCTGCCAAATCCCAAACAGTTTGGCACACCTCTTCGTCTGGTCCATCTCATTCCACCTCCGTATCTACTGTAATCTCACCAGTATTTAGAGTCTCTGATGCTTTTAACTCTGTCAGAGAATTGCTTCTCCAGACAGAACATAATCATCAAGATCTTGTCAAAACTATTGAGGTAAGCTAACGAAGTTTTGTATGTCTGTCTTTACAGAGTATAAGAGGACTGTCCGAAATGTTTGTGGCCTAACCTAAAATAAAAAGTGGACTATATGATTTTTGTGATAAATATTAAGTTTGAATCTTTTTAGGAGTAAGCAACACGAAACATATAACTTAACATGTATTAACTTGTGGAGTTTTGAAGGAAAGAAGTCAACAATTTTAAACATCATGGATGAGATCAAACTTCATACTGTGATCAAATATTTTGTTAAAATAAAATGACACTGCAAGATATCCACCAGGACATAGAACCAACAACAGGAGAAGGTACTCTGGCATATTCAACAGTGAAAAAGTGGTGTGCTGTGTTTAAGTAAGATAGACAATCATGCAAAAATGATCCAATGTTAGATATTCATGACTATTTAAGTTAATGTGAGTGTTATGATTTTGATGGTTTAAGTATAGCACGAGTGTTAAATTTAGTTATTTTTAGAAGCGATAGTTTATTGCAGGTTTGTTTATGTAACTGTGCATGAATCGTACGTTATGTAGTTCAGTTGTGAATTGGTACTTTTATTATTGCACTGAGTTTCTAGAAACTTCTAAGTTTTTCTCCTTGTTTCGATTGAGTACTATTGCATCATAATATCTCATTGTTTGTGGAACATTTAGGCCTCTATCAGGCTATAAATATGGATACAAATTATAGTTCGAGTTAGTTTGAGTTATTATTTGAGTGATTGTGAATATAGCCAGGGTGTATTGTGGCAATTTCTAAAGAAAAATTATCACAGATTGTATTGTAATAACAGAGTAGAAAAGAAATAATTTGTATTGTCAATTGTGTTCTAAAGTAACTGAACCAACTGGTGTGGACTTTAACAGAAAAAAAGAGATAATTACTTAAAGCTCTAAATACAATTGTGAGAACCAACAGTGTAATGTAAGTAAAATTATCACTGATTGTATTGTAATAGCAGAGAAGATAAGAATAATTTACCTTGTCAATTGTGTTCTAAAGTAACTGAACCAACCTGCTTTGGCTTTGACGAAAAGAGGCAATTATTTAAAGATCTGGATACAGCTGTGGTAATTAACTGTGTAATGAACATTTGTATATATGTTTGACTTGTTTTGAGATGTTATTTTAAAACAAATGGTTTGTGTGCTGTTTGTTTATTGTTGAAATTTATTGCCAACAAGTCATAGAAACCTACTGTAAGGAATCCAACCCACACATACATGAAAACCTGACATCCTGAGGTCATGTTGGCTGGTACAAGTGTATAGACTTTCAGAAAGGTATAAAGACCTTAGAGCACTGCTGGTACAAGTGTATAGACTTTCAGAAGGTAATAGCAGTGCTCTAAGGTCTTTGGTACAAGTGTATAGACTTTCCAGAAGGGAATAAAAGCCTTAGAGCACCACTGGTACAAGTGTATAGACTTTCAGAAAGGTATAAAGACCTTAGAGCAC